AGATGGACACACGAGGAGGCACTGATGACCCTTACACACACAAGTGTCCAAGTGTGTGTGTGTGTGTTAACACACATGCACACACGGGCGTGCAATGGACATGTGGAAAGTTGAAAATCTTGCCTTAATTCACTGAGGCTTTTTGAAAAAAGTCAAGAGCATAGAGCCAATTGATTATTGACTATGGTACCAAACACATGGGAGAAAGGAAGCCTCTTCAGCAAACGAAGCCGCAGAGCAGATGCTGCACACAGAACATGGAAACACGCCCTTCTCTTTAACTCCCCACAGAAGGAAGCTCAAAATGGATCAAAGACCTGAATGTCAGACCTGGAACTATGAATCTACTGGAAGAAAAGAGAGAAAACACTTCAAGACATTGCAGTACACAATGCTTTTCTGGCCAGGACTTCAGAAGTACAGACAACAGGAGCTCATGTTGGCAAAAGGGATGACAGCAGACTGTTCTAGAAGCTTCTGCACAGTAGAGTAAGAAGAGACAAGAAGAGACAACTTGCAGAACAGGGGAACATGTCTGCTAACTATTCCTCTGACAGGTGAATTTCCGGAACACACAAGAAGCTCAGAAATCTCAAAACAAAAACAGCAAATGATCCAATTTGAAAATGAGCAAATAAAATGAATAATCACTTCACAAAATAAGACATTCAAGTGGCCAAAAATTTAGGAAAAAATCCTCAGCTTCATTAGCCATTAGGAAAAAGCAAATCAAAAATCATACGACATCATCTCTGCAGTAGAGTTTAAGGTCTGGTATTGTGATACCTGCTGCTTTACTGTTCTTGCTAAGGATTGCTTTAGCTATTCCAGGTCTCTTATTTTTCAAAATAAATTTCATGACTGCTTTTTCTCTTTCTATGAAGAATGTCATTGGGATTTTAGTAGGAATTGCATTAAATCTGTGTAACACTTTTGGCAGTATGGCCATTTTGACACTATTAATTCTGCCTATCCAGGAGCATGGGAGATCTTTCCGTCTTCTGAGATTTTCTTCAATTTCTCTCTTTAGTGTCCTGTAGTTTTCATTGTAGAGGTCTTTCACCTGTTTTCTTAGATTGATTCCCAAGAACTTTATTTTATTTTTTTGTGGCTATTGTGAATGGAATAGCTTTCTTGTTTTCTCTTTCAGTGGATTCATCGATGATGTATAGGAATGTGTTTGATTTATGGGTGTTGATTTTATATCCTGCTGCTTTGCTGAATTCATTTATTAGTTCTAGAAGTTTTCTGGTAGAATTTTTTTGATCTTCTAGATATAAAATCATGTCATCAGCAAATAGTGAAAGTTTGAGTTCTTCTTTACCTATGTGTATCTCTTTAATTTTCTTTTGTTTAATTGCTCTGGCTAGACTTTCAAGGACTATGTTGAATAGAAGTGGTGAAAGAGGACATCCTTGTCTTGTTCCAGTTTTTAGAGGGAATGCTATCAATTTTTCTCCATTTAGAATGACATTGGCCTTGGGTTTAGCATAGATAGCTTTTAAATGTTTAGGTATGTTCCTACTATTCCTAGTTTTTCTAGTGTTTTGAACATGAAGGTGTGCTATATTTTGTCACATGCTTTTTCTGCGTCTATTGAGATGATCATATGATTCTTGTTTTTAAGTCTATTAATATGATAAATTAGTTTATTGATTTTTGTAAGTTGAACCAACCCTGCATCCCTGGGACAAATCCCACTTGATTGTGGTGCACTATCTTTTAAATATGTTTTTTTATGTGATTTTCCAAAATTTTATTGAGAAATTTTGCATCTATGTTCATCATAAATATTGGTCTGAAGTTTTTTTTTTTCCTTGATGGGTCTTTATCTGATTTTGGTATCAGGGTGATACTAGCCTCATAGATGAGTTTGGAAGTGTTCCCTCCTTTTCTATTTCATGAAATATTTTGAGGTGTATTGATGTTAATTCTTCTTTGGAAGTCTTGTAGAACTCGGCTGAGAATCCATCTGGTCCTAGACTTTTCTTCGTTGGTAGGCTTTTGATGGTGTTTTCTATTTCATTACTTGAAATTGATCTGTTTAAATCATGTATGACCTCCTGATTCAGTTTAAAGAAGAGTGAAATTTTAGCATTTACATGTAAATGGTTGGAGTTGGAAAATATTATGCTAAGCAAAATAATCCACTTCCACAAAACCAAAGGCCGAATGTTTTTCTAATATGAGATTTGCTAATTCACACTAAGGTGGGAGGCACAAGGCATGAATAGCGTTACCTTAGATTAGGTAGAAGAAAGTGATGGGAGGGGATGTGGGGATAGAAAAGTAGTAGAATGAAACAGACATTATTACTGTATGTATGTATGTGACTGCATGACCAATGTGATTCTGCAACACGTACACTCAGAAAAATGAAACTATATCCCATCTATGTATGATATGTCAGAGTACATACATGCATTCTACTGTCATGTATAAGTAATTAAAACAAATTAAAAATTTTAAAAAAAGACTAAATGGGGGGGCATAAGAGTGTGGGAGCTGTTCAATATTGCTGTGTCCTCATAAGACGAGGACAGACACCAGTGAATGCATGTACACAGAGACAAGAGCAGAGACAAGAGTGCCGTGTGCAAGCCGGGAGAGAGGCTCCAAGGGGAAGCATTCTGATGCTCGGCTCTTGGTCTCCCAACACTCAAAGCAAAGAGGAAATAAATTTACACTGTTTTTTAAAAAAAGAAAAAAAATGATCTCACTCCAGTTAGAGTCGATAGCATAAAAAATAAAAATGCTGGCAAGGATGTGGAGGCAAGGAACCCACACCCTGCTGGCGTGAATGTGAATCAGGGCAGACACTGTGATGAACAGTGTGGAGATTCCTCAAAAAACCTAAGATGTGTCCACCATGTGACCCAGCTACCCCACTCCTGGGTGACCATCCAGGGGACATGAAGTCTGCACAGCAGAGGGACACCTGCATGTCTGCCTTTCCTGCATCTCTGCTCACAGTTGCCCAGACATGGACTCGGCCTAGGTGCCCACCCACAGGTGAGTGGATAAAGAAAACATGTGCACGTGTGTACCACGGAGCACGCCTCCGCCGTACAGAAGAATGAAGTTCTGACATTTGCAGGAACTTGGATGACCTGAAGGACATTAAGTGAAATAAGCCCCACAGCTTCTTTCTCCTATGTGGATGCTAAAGGTGTCCACTTGAATGTAGAGAAGTGATCTCCGGAGGCTGGGAGGGGTGGGATGGGACAGAGGGAGGGGGCAGGGGGTAGCAGGCGCCGGAGCAGGTCGGACTGCAGGAGCGAGCCCGGGTTCCTGCAGCACAACAGCCTGTTGTATTTGAGGAAAGCTCCGCAGTTGCACGCATGAAGGACTGATAAGCACAGGAAATGCTTTTACCTCCATTTGACCAACACACATCGTATACATGTGATGAATTTCCATTGTGCCCCATACTTATGTACAATATCGTCAATCAAAATTTTGCAAAAAAATTTAAGATGAAAATACTAATCACCTGATTTGATCATTATACATTATATATACATGTGGACTTCTCACACTGTACCCCATAGTTATGCAAAATTTAAATGGTAATGATTAATAAAAAATTAAAAATCAAGACCCTATGTAGAATCTTACCGCTTGTTTCATATGGCTTTATCCTTTAATCTATTAAGGTAGTGCTTTGGGTGAAGAGTTTTCTTAGCCTGGGGCACTTGCTACATCCTGCGACAAACCTTACCTGGTTAAAATACGCCCGTCTTAGCCCACTAGCATAGGTGGCCAGTGCTCTGTGGAAATTTGTGTGCCAAGCTCAGAAGCAAAACGGTCCAGGAGCGGTCTGTATGTGGCTGTGTGTGTCTGTGTGTGCGTGTAACCTGCATGCTCTGTGTCTGTGTGCCAGGTTTGACGTGCTGTCGTTTGTGTTGTAGAAGAAATGACAAGTTGTTTCCCTTCAAGACTCATTATTCTTCATCCTTTGTGCACATGGTGATAGGTGACAACATGGCCACAGTGAAGTCACCCAGGTCTTGAACCCTTTATCTAGGGTGACCTTCAACCTTACAGTGTCCTTGGGAATAAGCCATCTGCATCCACACAGGATAGAGCTATGTGTGGGATGTCAGTCTACTTGCAGGTGGCTTTGCTGACAATGTCCCTTGCTTGATAATCCTGTCCTGCGTTCCCTTGATCACTACTGATAATAAGGCTCACTTTTTTCTCAGCAATGACATCAAATGCCATCTGCAAACAGGAAAAGGTCAGTGCCTTAACCTCCCCTTTATTATGAGAAGTTGCCACATTTTTGGATGCCAGTGGACTCCAGGTGGGCATAGAAACAAAGGCTCCCTCCAGCTTCCCTGCAGCATGGCCACTGCATCAAAACCTCAGCCTTGCTGAGCGTCAGACCGTAGCCCAAGTGGACCTTGTTGTCATGACTCCTGTTCTGCCCACCCCCTGTGCCATGTCTGCTAGTGACACCCGGCATCCTCAGGTAGCCTTGGAGCTCAGCCTCTGCTCTGCATGCCCCAGCCTGGGTGCCCCAGCCTGGGTAGGTAGTTTGCTCCCGGGCTCCTGCATTTCCTGAGCTGGTGTGAGGGTTGATCTCCCTCCATCAAGCCTGCTCTCCCCAGGCACAGTGGGGTCTTGATATTTTGATGTTCCTAACAGTTCCTAGCAGTGCCCAGCTCTCAGGGCCTGTAGCTCTGGGTCCACAGGAGAATGAATGGCCCAGGAGGGACGTAGGCTCTGTCCCTGGGAGCAGAGAAGCAGACCTGAAGCAGCTGTTGGTTGTGACTGAGCCTCTCAGGGAGGGCCCCCTCTTCTTGCAGAGCTCACTGAGTTCTGAGGTTCGGTAAAATTATAGCCCAGCCCTTCCTTATCCCAAATTGCCACATTTTTGAGCTTGGAAGTATACTGGATTCCCAGTATAGCTTAGAGTATTATTTTTATGAACTATGAAGTGGTTATATAAACTCATTTACATCAACAATTTATAAACTCCAAAGATACAGCAATGCTTTGGGGATGTCAGAAAAATGTTATTTACAAGTCACACTCCACCATAATTTATAGAGATTTACCCCCCGGGTAACTGGAATTGAATTGGAAAGTAAGAAGAGCATTCCGGAGCCCTCATTTGCATACTTATTGGCACTTCTCTGCACTCCTGAGGCTCACGTGTCTTTCCCACTCTGCCTCCGCCTCACTGATGCTGGTGGAGGTGGACGCTTATCATGTGCCCACTGTGTCCCAGGCACTGGATGAGGCCCCTGGATGCCGGGCCAAGAGGACTTCCCCTTGCCTTATGGCACCTCCTCTTGAGGGCAGACATGAGAGGCAGGGACGGGAAAGTGGGTGCGATGGCCCTGCGCACATGTACCTCCATCCTTCTCCTCCTCTGAGACGATGAGTCACCAGGGCTGCTCCCGCTGTCTGGAGGACCCTTGGCATGAGAGAACCCGCTGAGGGGGACCCTGCTCAGGCGACCAAGCTGCATTTCCCTGGGACCTGCTCAGGGCTGAGCTTGGCCTCAAGTTGGGCAGGTACCTTGGACTGCTCTGCTCACTGCTCAGCATTACTGTCACCAAGGAGAGAGGAGTGGGATGTCCCCAAGACCCCAGAGTACTGGAGGTGAGTGGCCAGAGCCCAGTGGGCAGCACTGTTTCTGCCTTGGCCTGTTTCTGCCCCCAGCCCCAGCCCAGCAGGACTCTTAGGGTCATGTTCTGTGGTCATGGTGACAGGAGGGTCCAGAGGCAGGGCCTGACCCTCACCCCTGCTGCTGTGGCCCCTTCATCCTGGGCTCTGAGCAGCGTGCAGACAGGGCTCCATCGACTGCAGCATCTGTCGTGTGCAGCAGTGGGCTGGACGTGTCCTCAGGACTCGCCCTGGGTCCGTCTTGAGCCAGTATCACTCCGCGGAAAGCCCGGCGAGGACCCAAGTGGCCACCTCATCACACCTATGGATGAACTCACGGGACCTCAAGGGCTGGAGCCTGGGGGTGAGGGTGACGATGTCTGATCCGGGCCCAGGGGGCACAGGTGGATGGAGGGGCTGTGCCAGGGAAAGGACATCCCTGTGACAGGAGCATGTAGGTCAGAGGTTTCCGTGGAGGGCTAGGGGTTTGCCCACCTGGGGGGAGACACACGCCTTGCCGCCCGGCCCGCAGGGATTGTCGTGCCTTTCCATGGAGGTGAGTCAGGGACCACGTAAGGACCACGTGTAACCCTCCTCTGCTCCCCCATTACGGGGTGCATCAGCTCCCAGCCTCTGGCTTCCCTGTCAAGCTAACGTGGTGGCCACTCCGAGTGCTATCCCACCCCGAAGCCAGCACCCTGTGCTTTAGGGAGGCTGCTGGTGCGTGCCCCCTCCCTCTGGATGGATATCCTGCTCTCCGGAGAGGGACGGCCTTGAACTTGAAGAGCTGATGGCGTGGGGGTCAAGGGGCTGGACACCCTTCACCTCTGTTCCTGAGTGACCACGGAGTGGGGAGAGGCCAAGGGGCTCCCTCTCCCCCGTCACGCCTCTCTCCCGTTACCTGTGGCTCAAAGCCTTCGTGGGCATGAAGAGGTGGGGGAGGCCTTATGGGCGGGTGCTGGGCTTCGGGGTCAGCAGGCAGGGCAGGCAGGTGGGGGTCTTGGAAGCTCCTGACGTCAAGGAGGGCAGCTGGGCAGGGGCTCCGTGTGTCAGGAACATGGGCGTCAGCATCACAAGGAAAAGCACGTTCTGACCTCATAATAGGTCAGAATTAAATGCATTTATTTTGTATCTGAGGAGGGCTTCTAATTTTCCTGGCCACAGGGAGGCCACCCTTCGGGCAGCCTGTGTCTGGGAGACCCTTCCACTCCTGGGGTGGGGCCTCAGCCCCTCAGGCCTCGCGCCCAGCACTCCCCGCCTCTGTCAGGTGCTGCTTTTCCCATACTTCACTTTTTTCAAATCCCCATCGTGAGTCAGGAGGATGCCTGGGTTTTCCGAGGGCACCATGGGGCCACATGGGGAGAGGGTAGCACACCCTGGCTGAGGGTCCTGCTTCTCCCACGCGACGTTGGGTCTTGAGAGCACCCTCAAACCAGACTTTATTTTTTCGTGGCAGTGAGTCTCTTTCCCCCAGGCCACCCAAGTGCACGGAGAAGCCAACTGGAGCGTGCTTGGTGCACGTATCCCAGCAGGATTCTCTCCTGGATCTTCAGACCAGAACAGCTACTGACTGGCACATGTTCCTGTGTCGGCGATGACACTGGTACCCCTCCAGGCCAGCTCCTGTTGAAGACATGAGCCACGGAGGCAGAGGTGACCTGAGAACGTGAGTGAAGATGTGAGGGACAGCCCACAAGGCAGAAAGCCAGCTCTTCCAGGACCCAGGGCCACTGTGGGGACAGCAATGATGAGCCAGGATGGAGGCCGGCAGTGTGAGCTCCCCGTGGGGTTCACGCATGAGCACCTTGGGGAGAAGCTTCCCGCGGCCTCTCCCTGAGATGTGTGCAGGGTTGGGACTCAGGCTGACCCTGTGCTGACCTGGTCCCCAGTCCCTCTAGCTTGTCACCTGTCTCCTCGCTTGCCCGGTGGGGACAAGACCCGGTGCTGCTATTCTGAATGCCCTGTGACATGTGTGGGGTAGACCAGAGTGGCCTCCTGGCTTCATGGGTGACCTGAAAACTCAGTGAGCCAAGTCAGGTGAGTGACCAGGAACCAAGGAAGCCAGTTGGTCCACAGAGCCCTGAATTTTGTCTTCCATTTTTGTTTTTTAGTCTTCAGAACAGGAAATTTCCCCTGTCTTTATTGGTGTGTGATAATTCTACATAGCGGTGGGACTTGTTGTACCCCTATGTCCACACAGTGCAACGGTATGATTTGGCCAGTACCAGGCTCCTTGGCCCCTCCTGGCTCCTTTCCTCTACCTACTGATCTCCTTTGATGTTCAGAAGGCCCCCTCCTCCTTCCTCCCCCTTTTCTTATCCAGCTTCCGTGTCTGAGAGAACACACGTGACTGCTCACGGTCTGAGTTTGACTTGCAGCAGTTAGCATGATGTTTCCCACTTCCATCCATTTTCCTGCAAATGACATGATTCCAGCTTCCTTTATAGCAGACTAAAACTCCATTGTGTACAGAAACCACATCTTTTTTATCTGTTCATCTGTTGATAGACACCTAGGCGAGTTCATAGTTTAGCTATCATAATTGTGCTGCTATAAACTTAGTTAATTGCTCTAGGATCCTGACTTTATTTCTTTAGGATAAATATCAAGAGTAGTGTGGGTCATATGGAGGCTCCATATGTAGTCTTTTGAGGAACATCCATATTGATTTTCATAGTGTGTGTACTAATTCACCATCCCACCAACAATGTAGAAGTCTTCCTTTCTCTCCACATCCTCTCCTGCATTGATTATTGTGAGTGGTCTTGGTGGCTGCCACTCTAACTGGAGTGAGATGAAATCTAAATGTGATTTTGGTTTGTATTCCCCAGCTGCTAAAGATGTTGAACATTTTTTCATACATTTGTTTGCCATTTGTATTTGTGTGTGTGTCTGTGTGTGTCTGTGTGTGTGTGTGTGTGTGTGTGTGTGTGAGAGAGAGAGAGAGAGAGAGAGAAGTGTCTGTTTAATGCATTTGCCCATTTACTAATTGGGTTATTTGTTTTGGGGTGTTAAGGTTTTTGAGTCTTTATATAGTCTAGATTTTAACCCTCTGTCAAAAGAGTACCTAGTAAAGATTTTTTTCTACTGTTTTGCATGTTTTCTCTTCACATTACTAATTGTTTCCTTTTCTGTACAAAAATGTTTTAATTTGATGTCATCCCAGTTGTTGACTCTTGGTATTATTTCCTGAGCGTTAGAAGTTCTATTGAGAAAGTCTTTGCCTGCACCTGTATGCCGGAGTGTTGGCCCTACATTTTCTTCTATGAGCTGCGCAGTTTCTGGTATAATTCTTAGGTCTCTGATTTGCTTACATCACATTTCCTGCCCAGTGAGAGCAAAGAATCTAGTCTCGTTATTCTACATATGGATAACCAGTTTCCCAGCACCATTTGTTAAAAGGGCTGTTTTTTCTTGCTGTCTGTTTTCAGCACCTTTGTCAAGAATCGGACGACTATTCTGTGGGGTTTGTCTCCATGTCCTCTATTCGGTCCCATTGGTCACTGGGCCTGTTTTACCCCAGTACTATGCAGTTCTTGCTACTACAGCTCTGCAGTGTGGCTTCAAGTCAAGGATGGTGATGTCTCCAGCATATTTTTGTTTGTTTGTTTTTGTAGGCTTAGAATCGCTTTGGCTATTTTGGGTCTTTTCTTCTTCCAAATAAACTTTAGGATTGTGTTTATCTAGTCCTCTGAAGAATGTCATTGTGAGTTTAATGGTGACTGCATTGACTCGTAAACTGTTTTTGGCAGCAGACCCTGTTTAACAATGTTGACGCTGCCTATCCATGAACATGGGAGGCCTTCCCCTCTTCTGGGCCCTCTTCATTTTCTTTCTTCAAGATTCTGTAAGAAAACTGGCTTTGTAAAGAACATCCATCCTCTCTCTCTGGAGCTGAGAAAGCCCCTGGGAGGAGCAGTGGAGAGTGACTCAGATGTTCACCATGCTGCCTGTCACATGCCCTCCCCAAGTGGCTCTGTCTCCTGACCAGCTGGATGGGCTGTAAATGTCACATCTGAACCAGGAACCAAACCTGTCATCACTCCATCCAACGGAAGATAAGGGTTCAATAATGAGGGCTCAATTTCACTTAATCTCTCTGGTGTTGGGAAATATGTGTTTTGAAAAACTTTGCCACTGTTTTCTTTTTGACAGAACTTCCTGTATTTAATTTTTGTCACATGTAGAATTTGACTTGGGCCGGCTACGCCCAACACAGTCCAGTTTTCTTTGGAACTGAGCTCAGCCACACTGTGTTATTAGCACTTTGATCTGGCTGGCGATGGCACAGATCTGCCGAGGGGAAGGCAGGCTGTTATTGATTTCAAGCTGCAAAGTACCCAGATCTCCAATTTAAAAACACTGGTGAGAAGGAGTGACAGCCGAAGACTTGAAATAATTTTCATGCTTGGCTGTGATGTCTGATGAGATGATCAGATGAGGATTTACCCAATACTCCACCCCCCGACAGTTTTATGAAGTGTTTTAGGTCTCATTTGCGAAAAAATTGGTCAGAATTTTGTCTTATTGATCATGAAAACAAATAGAAGCCTCTCTAAGGCATCCACATTGGGAAATGAGAGGCCCTGTGTTTTCAGATGAAATACAAACCCACGGTAGAGTAGATAGAATTCTACTCCAAAGTCAGAGGCCTCCTGTGAGGGGCGTGTTCCCTTGAGAGCATGCCTGCTGCAGGAGAGAGGGTGGGGCTGAGCACGTGCCTGCGCCATGATGCAGAAAGAGGAGGTCACCAGAGCCTCAGTCCACCTCCTTGTCCTTAAACAGGAGATCATCCAACACCCCTCCAGCTGCAGACTCCCGGACCTGGTTTGGCTCCCAGCCTCCTCCTGCACACCTCATCTGCAGCAGCCATCAGGGAGCGTGTCCTCATCCCTTGGAAGGTTCCCCGGGTGTTGGGAGGAGCTCCAGATCCCGGGATGGGAGGGAGTTCTGGCACCACCCGTCTGGAGGGGCAGCAGATCCCCTGGTCTCCCAGCTTGCTGCTCTAAGGGGCCCCCTTCTAGGTCAGCAACACTTCCGTTCCCCTGGTGGAGTGAAGGCTCTCAACTTCAGGGCTATTGACTGTTAGGGCTGGTGACTCTTTGGGGGTTCTTGTTCATGTAGGAGAGTCAGCAGCCCCTGGATTCTGCCCACTGCATGCGGTGGGCCCTTGTAGTGACAAACGAATATGTCCAGACACAGCCTAGGAGACCAGGTCACCCAGGATTGAGAACCACTGTGTTAGAATAATAGGTTCTACAAATGTTTAAATTTCACCTCCTCTCTCCCCTGTGAGAGGAAATGAAAGTAAGCAAAAATCTCCAATATATGAAAGACTATTTCTTTCTTTTTTTTTTAAAGAGAGAGGAGAGAGAGAGAGAGAG